CCAACCCCTATGATTCTATGATTTTAGTTACACATATTGTACATACTCTAATACATTCATCGGGCAAATAATGGAGGTTGAATTGCTCTTATTAAATGGCTGCACATTTTCCTTGTGCATTTCCTAATATATTTGTATATGAGCAAATATTTTTGAGTGCACTACTTGATTTTGCTTCGTCTTGCATTATATTCTTGCATGAGTTGCACTATCTGGTATTTCACCTTTAATGACAAAACATACCATTAGTTGATTCACTTCAGTGGATTTGATGAGTATCCAGCAGAAATGGAAATCAGTCTTTGAGAAAGACCCTTGCCAAATAAAAGCAGCAAAAATAACAAGATGGGTGGAACCTCTGACTGTGTAAATTATGTTTGACTGTTCTGTTTCACAGTTCCATCACTGTGGGGTCCTTATCAGCAGTCCCACTGTAACCAGCAGTGTTTTTATCACGTGCTTTGGGGTTGCAGAATTTATACAGCCAAAGGATGAAACGTCACTGGAGAGGTTCTACAATGTCTGATGTAAACATGTCCAGACTGGACGAGGCACACCAGAGTTAGGCTGTGATTGCACGTGTGGCAGATAGCAACGTTAGTTCAGGTTATAGAAAAATCTCTGTCCAGACTCAGAATTTTGTTGCATTTTTTTAATCTCCAGCCTCTGTGATCTGCTCTCCCTGGGGTGGAATGTTGGCTTTCCAATAGAAAGTAATTACGGTCTCTTGTCTGCAAGAATGCAGATCATTAATGCATTGGCTTCCTGCTCCTGTCTCCCTAGCCTCATTTCCCCACCTATATGGTAGGGGTCTGGTATTAAATCACTCTAGGCATAATTAGATTGAAAATAATTTCACTGTGTAGTTGGTGCCTCTCCCCAGAGCATTGCATTTTGCTGTTTTCTCTGTTTTTCTTTCCAAGCTACTTTCTAAACTTTTTCAGAAGTGAATCTTGCCATGGTCTGTCTCTGTATGTCGCAAATATATCTTGTCACACAGGTTGCCTGCAGTGTGATGAGCTTTGCCTATCTTAGTTACTGTGCATTGGAAGAATATGGGATCAGGTCTCATGTATAACTTGGAAATCAACCATTAATTCGTGTTTTATTGCAGCATTTCTGCAGACTAGAGAGTTACATCTCCCACATCTGCAAGCCTAATATAGGTTTGCAGTCATTGTGCAATGTACTCTGTGATGAAAGATGCTGCTCTAGGGATGCACTTGTCTGGATCTAACCTGAAGCACTTAAAACTTTCATACAAGAATTTCCCTTCTACCATGCACTTATGTGTCATTTTCTGCATTAAAGAGGAAAGTGGCAGCGATTTGGCTTTTCAGGGAATATGAGGGATAGGTAGTTCCCTGCAAATAATCTCTCTCTTTGTATGCCCACCTTTTTTTCTGTTATTTGCAAGTAATATGTATTACTTCAAATAAAGTAAGGGATTTAAAACTTCCATGCAATAGATGCAGTAATTTTGATTCTTCTTATGAACTATTCCTTCTTAGCTAGCACTGGCAATATAACCATTGAACTTAATTGCAAGCTGACTGAGGTTAAAAGCCAGTAACTCTTTGCCCTTGCCTGCAGAACCTGAACTTCACTGGCTTCCGCAAGATCTTGAAGAAGCATGACAAGAACCTGGAGACAGCACGGGGAGCAGAATGGCGGGTGGCTGAGGTGGAGGTGGCCCCCTTCTACACCTGCAAGAAGATCAACCAGCTTATCTCAGAAACAGAGGTAAAGTGTGGGCACTGCTCCTCATGACCTAGAGAACAGTGTTTTCTGACTCACTTCTTTTTCCTGTAAGGTTTTGCCCTCTGTATAGCTTGTATTCGCCATGAAGGCAACTCTTAATCAATTTTGAAATGCTAGTGATTTCTGGCACTTACATACATTTGAGTATGTTCTTATTTTTTTGGCTTAATGCTCATTATTAGAATTAACTTCTGTGGTGTGTATTTTTACCTCCTTAGGAAGTGGTGACCAATGAGTTAGAAGATGGAGACAGACAGAAGGCTATGAAACGTTTGCGTGTCCCACCCTTAGGAGCAGCTCAGGTGAGAAGTTGTGTTATGTAGCAAAGATGTTTCCCCAGTTTGCAAAGGTGCCAAATTAGATTCAACATCTGAACAAAGTAGTGAAAATAATTGATGTGAACATGCACTGGAAATTGGGGAGTGGGGGTCACAGCTGCATAATCTGCTTTAGTTCCGGAAGATTTGGAAATGGCTTACTATGCCTAATGCATGCAGATGAGGCAATGAAGGGATGAGATAAATAGTAAAAGGAAATTTGTGCTAATAATAACATATGCTTAGTGCTTGTGTGGTCTGGAATATTTTTCAAAGGGCGTTGAGATGCCCAAGCTCTGTTTCAGTACAGCAACAACATAGGCAAGAATATTACGTAGCATTTTCAGTTTTGAAAAGCTCACTCCAAGATCAAGAGTGCAATCAGAGATCAGAACATTGTATTCCTGATTTTAATCTGACTTTGCTGACAACCTCTTTACCACACCTTAATTCCACCATTGCTTTGTTCACAGCCTGTACCAGCCTGGACTACATTCAGGGTTGGATTGTTCTGTGGGTTGTTCATTGCACTGAACGTCACTGTCATACTTTCAGGTGGGTATCCTCAGCTGGACCCAGCTGGCTGCCATACCTTGGTTTGGATATATTCTCATTGTTTAGCGAGGGCCTGGACCCAAACTGGGTTGCTCAGGATGTTCTCGGTTCAATCAGCCAGAGTCGGATCACTCTGTTGTGAGTTGTTAGTTCTGCTCAGTAATAGGTTGTGGGTTTTTTCATGTTATATGTGTGGATTTCGGACTTCGAATATATTGTGGTTTGTCCTCCTGGTTTCCTCCTTATGCTTGATGGGATATTCTGGAGGTGCAACATCCATGTATAAAGACAGGTTTCTGTTACTGTTCTGTGAACACAGGGCTCTTGCCCACCTTGAGACAACTGCTTGTAGAACTTAAGTTTTGCATGGGACTGACTCACTGCAGAGAATGAGATCAGAGCCATGTGAGCACCATGCCACTCACAGTATTTTAATGTAGAACTTTCTAGGATTTCAGTGCTTGGTGCCTATTTAATGGAATTAATTGCCTTTTTCTTGTTGGCAGATTTTGGCAAGATGTTTAAAAGCTACAATAAATTATTGCATATCTCAGGCCTTTGTTTTGTTCTTCTTTGTGCTTTCTGAGTTTGGGCTTGGATTAGAGTAAAAGCCTTGTCAGTACTGTGGATCCAGATCCAGTGCTTAATCACAAGCAGCTTCACTAATTGTGTATGTGATTTCTGTAGTGTTGTAACTTGCTTAAGCAGTACAAAGGAAAAGGCTTAATTCAACATATGAGCTTTTGCATTAGGGAAAGCCCATGCCTGTGTTTTTGATTTAAAAGAATTTTTAATCATCTGTTTCTGTAATTGGATCCAGTCATCTCTTGGGATAAAATGTCTCTGTTTGAGAAGCTGTTTGCAGTGCTTTCCATTTGGTCTTCCTAAGGTAGAAGCAGAAAGCTGACCTGTCTGTGTGAAGGCTCTGTTTAATGTGTAGAAGCTGTTCTTTATTCATCATCTCTTTTTTTTTCCTGTTACTTACATGTTTGATCTCTGTGAGATGGAAATATGATAGAAACCAGTCGTTTGCTTTATCTTTTAGTATTAAGAATGAAAAAGTGACACAGTTCTGAGAATGAATTCATAAAAATAATTATCTCTAAAACTGATGTTACTTAGTGTGAATAATAAGTATGTTTATAGCAGCAGAACTGATTTGATATCTGTAGATTACTTCAGAACTGGGAAAAAACTGTATCTGAGCTGCAAAGTGTTTGTCCTTAATTGGATATTACGTTGCTCACCTCCCTGCTGCTTTTGCCAAATTGTTTTCTAGGATTTGATTGACTAAGGTAGGATTTCAGTGTTATATGTGTACAAGCTGTGGAACAGCATTAGAACATGGCCTCTAACAGTAAATAGTTTTTGTATTGCCTGATTTTAAAACTAGAACAGCAACATTTTACAGAGATGAGTTCATAATAACTTGGGTTCTGTTAAAGGCTATAGATGCTGCAGGTGGTTCCCAGGAAGGTGTCACCCTAAAGAGTATGAATTTTGAGGCTTCAGTGTTTCTGTATCTGCTTTCCTAGGTGCCAAGTTAGTGTTTAATTGAGGTTGAAAGTTCATGGAAATTGGCATGCATTAACTAGAAACCTGTAAGATTTCATGCAAAAATCTCAAGACCCTTGCTGCAGTAGTGCCTTGTCTCTTGTTTGAGAATTAGGCTGTGATGCTGCTGGGCTTGTCAGCAGGGACATCTTCCTCCCTGAGGACATTATTCACAGCCTGTGTTTGCTGAAGGCATCAGTCAATCGAATGTCAGATACCTGTTGACTCTAGGAGGTGACTTTGCTTCTCTTGGATTTAAGTGGAAACAGTATATGAGTGGACAGTCTCTTTGCCTCGAGGCTGTAGTACAGAGCCCTGGGCTGGGTACCACCAGTCTGGGACCTCATGCACCCTTGCTGGGCACTTCCTGCAAGCAAGGTCTTTGAGTGTCTTCAGGCAAACTTCTTGGCTGTGGTAAAGAAAATGGCTCAGTTATGAGACATGAAAAGGGAATCAAATCTAGCCTTTACACTGTAGAAGCTGAACTAGATAGAATCTTAGTGGCAGAGGTGAGAAGATACAGAAATACTCCTGGCATATCTGTGTTAATATCTAGCTTCTTGTACTGTTAAGCATCTGCTTTTTATTCAGATCCAGCTGCTGTCCCACACTGCAGTGGGACACCATCTACCATCTTGAGAGTCCAGAAGTAGGAGTAGCAAGCCTTATCTATGGAAGTGAATATGCTGTGCTGTCATTCTGAGATGTGCTCACCGCAGGATAAACCTTTGCCTGTGTGTCCACCTCGAATAGCACACAGCACATCTACCCTATTCTGTCTGGTCACTTTGTATTCACTGCTTTTGTGGCTACTGTGTCCTGTGTGGAAGCACCTACCTTGGTTTTATCTGCCAGCATTTCAGATTAAAATTTGAAATGCTACTTTTGTGATTCCACATTTGAGACTCATTATTTTCAGCTTCTTCAGAATGTCTGTCATTTCTGTCCAAAATATGACTCTATTTTGCCTGAATCCTATGGTGTCTTTAAGTCTCTTTTAAATTTAAAGCAACAGTTCTTGAGCTATTGTTTTTTGCAAAACTTTCCTGCATAATTTTATGTATTATAAGGTACAGATGCTGAACACATGAAACTTCTCATGAAGAAAAGTTTGAAAAACGTGGGGCTGTAATTTAGACAGGGAGGTTTCTGGGAATAAAATCTCAGCATCAATTCTGTAAAGCTGTATGTTATGTTCTTTCTCTTAAAAAGCATGTGAGTGAGAAACACTCAGTGAAGCCGAGGATGCAAAGAACTCAATTTTATTTGTGCTTTTTCCATAAAACCCAGATCGGGCAATTGAGGGACAGTATTCTGCAAAGAGGCTTGTGCTAGAGAAAGCTGCTGCTGTATAATGCTGCTCACTGTTTGAAGTTAAGCAAATTTGTTTCTCTAAAACACTGAAAACTAAACAAAGGAAGCAACAGGCTTTCCAGTATTGCTGCCTCATGTTGGGTTTTGTGTTTGGGTGCGGCTAGATGTTCTATTGCTAGTTATGAATATGTACTACATTACAGTTGTATTGAGTTTGGCACTGAGGTGCAGCGTAGCATTGTTTGAAATGCTGTAAATGGTACTTCTTGGTTTTGTGGGGAGCTGAAGTATGTCTGTATCTGTCTGTTGGGATTTCATCTCCATTAAACCAGAACATGTATGTGCATATAGTCATGATTTAAGCCAGTGCTCTCCCTTGTGCTTGTAGTGTGAGACAGACGACTTAAGATGCTGCTGCTGACCCAGCTACACCAGTTGCAGAGTGAATTTTTCCCAGGACACTCATAAATACTCTTAAATACTCCTAAATTCTCTGGCAGGCTAGGCAAAAAGTCCTCTGCTTGCTGGAATATGCAGGTGTGTACAAGCATACCCTGTTTACACAGGGTACCACTGAGCATCTGAGAACCAACCTCAAGTGGTGGACTGCAGCTTTGCTTTGTGACATGTCTTGTGCTATTGCTGAGGTCGTTTCTTTTTTGTCTTTGCCAGGTGTGGCTTTTATAGAGGGACCAAATGTGTGGCCACTAGTGAGAATCTATCGAGGTGGCTTTCTCCTGATAGAATTCCTCTTTCTCCTGGGTATCAACACATATGGCTGGAGACAGGCTGGAGTGAATCACGTCCTCATTTTCGAACTCAATCCCCGCAGCAACTTGTCCCATCAACATCTGTTTGAGGTAACCAGAGCAGATTGTAGGAGTGGCTGAGCTGTGCAGTGCATGAGGAGGATAAATCCTGCACTGTTTCCCAGCAAGGAGTTCTAATACAATTAGACGAGGAAGTTGCTGAAGTCTGATTAGATTACAGGATTGAGTGCTGCTCTCCCTTTCTTTATAATGAGAATTCATTGTAGGTTTCAGAGCTGTATTTTCCTAAGGTATCTGTGTTTTTTTCTGTCTTTCTGTAGATTGCTGGTTTCCTGGGGGTTCTGTGGTGCCTGAGCCTGCTGGCATGTATATATGGTAAATTCACCTACATCCCTATGCAGGTGAATCCACTCATCTTGTATGGCTTCATGTTGCTTTTTCTCATCAACCCTACCAAAACCTTGTACTACAAGTCCCGTTTTTGGCTGCTCAAACTATTGGTAAGTCTCAAACCTGCTTTAAGTAAATAATTTTTTTTAAAAATGCTGTAGCTGAGCCATTAAGAATGTAGCAGCATCACTAATCCTCAGTAGAGAGGGGTTCTTACACCTCTCTGTATTCACAGAGCAGACCTCATAGTTATGGACTGCAAACAGGTGTTGAGCATGGATTTACAGGAGCAACTTCTCCTTGTCTGTACCAGTCTATCATTAAATTCATATTGCAGGTAGCTACTTGTTAATCTTCCTATAGAGAGCTGTATACATACTTTTGCACATACATAAACACTTTGATATCTGCTTGCTTCTTCCTTAATGTAGCAAAACAGTTTGATTAGGATTACAGAGCTCAAAGGGAAGGCTGCATGGGTGCTCCTCAGCCCAAACTGGTGAGTGCCAACATTGAGAGGGTTCACTGACAGAGAGGGAATCTTGGAAAAGGTTACTTCTTATAAAATTATGTTCATGGATGGGTTGGGTTTTTTTTTAGCATATCTGTTTGTGGCCTTAAACTGTTTATTTTCGACCCAGCTCCTATTTTCCAGGTACGGTGAGTCTGGTAAATTGAATGAAAACACACATGCTACTTCAGTGTTCAGTTATAGGTGGGAGCTCCAAAAGAACAGTTTTCAAACTTGTAGGATGGCTCATCAGTTTCTTCCCAAGTGGCTGTTTCACATGTTCATCCCCATCCTGTGTGCCCTTTTAAACTGACTTTAATCAAGTGAGCTCCCTTGATACCTTATTCTTGTTGGAACTGCTCTGAGAGCATCGGGCAGAAGAGGGTTTGGCTGGCTGATGCTATTCGTAGAATCATTTTAATGCCAATTAAAACAATTAACTTTATCTGGAACATGACAAAGATGAAATGTAGAATCGTGCTTCAAGCATGTGCCTACAAGTTTGCACAGAGCTAGTTAATCTCTGTCTGATTTTCTAGCTTACTACTCTTGCAGTTTCTTCCCTTTTTGCCTTCCAGCGTTCAGCCATCTCTCACAGATCTGGTCCCAAGCCTCATTAGTTATGCTGCTGCCCCTTGGTGCTAGGGGAAGCACTGAAAGTGCTCTAACTATATGAACAATAGCTGTGATAATTTACCTTAGTATCTTAACAGGGCAAGATTCTTGGTCTTCACAGAGCTCTTAGGCAGTTTCCAGTTCCTGCTCTACCCTAGCTATCTCTAGACTAGGCTACAGCCTGTGATACCGGTGTACCTTTGAGTATGTAGAGGCCAATTCATCCCAAGGTCTCCTGGGGAAAAAAGCTTTATCAAAATGCAAGAGCACCCTAATGTTGGAAGATACACAGTACTTCTGACTGTCTGTTATGCAGAAGGGGAAAAAAGAGGCCAAACCACATCAAGAGCAGCTGTTGAGCTTTTCTGATTTCTATTGAACGTAATTGGCTGGCTGGGTGTATTTTATTTCTCTGTGCGGCCGCCAGCAGCTATCTGGGTAAAAGGAGGTTTAAATTGCACAATTCTTAGAACTGTGCTCATCACACAAATTTTGGTTTGGTGAGCATTTTTCATCACATGCTCGATATGTTTCCTTTCCAGCCAAAATGAAGTCTGACCTATCGGGTGTAGCAGAGCATTACAGGCACCTTCACTAAAGCATGAGCATGCTTTAGTGTATTGTAGCATTTCCTGATGGATGTAGGAGGCTTTACTGCATCCACCCATGACCATCAGTGGCTGCTTTTTGGTACTCAGGAGTGGGATCTCTTTTGATAATCCTTGAGGGACTGCAAGTTACACCTGGATTAATCTTCCTCTGAGTCAAAAAAGTTATTTAGCCTGTAGTAAGTTTAATTCCCATGCCATTCCTTCTACATGCTTAGGTGAGCGTTCTTTGTCCCTTTGCTGCCAGATGAGAAGCCCATGAGTGCACTTGTGTAGGCTGAGGAGAGCAGCTCACCGGGAGGAATCGGATCCAGGCAGAGGGGACGGCACACTGTCTGCCTGCCCACACTCCCTGCAGGGCACCGAAACAACTGCAGGGAGCCTGTCTGTGAGAGGTGAAAATCTAGGAAGAGTTTAGCTCCAGCTCAAGTATCTGCTATCTCAGCACTTATTAAAAGTGCAGTCATCAGCACCAGGAAGTCTGTGCTCAGACTGTGGAACTGTTGAACTGTAATTGCAGCCGATTACTTGAAATGGAGATTCAGCTCCAGCTTATGGTATTTTATAACTTCAGCTTTTGGTATTTTATAACTTTATCCTCGCAGCCTATCTTTTTTGGAGGATGATGCAGGCAATTCTCATCTGTGAAGTGAGGAGTTGGCTGTGGTACCTGCCAGCACCCTCTGGTAGGTGGGCTGCAACTCCAGCTGTGCCAGGACAGTGTGCGGCAGCAGTCGGAAACCAGGAGGATTCAAATGGCAGCTCAGGTTCTTGAGGATCGCTGACCGAGATGCCAGTGCCTTAGGTCACGGCCATATCTGCTGACTCCTCATCTGCTGTAACCTTTAGGTGGAGAGCTTCTACTCTCATAAAGGTTTTATGCTGTCATCTGGCAGTGACTAAGTGTCTCTCCCTACATTAAATAACATTAATTTTATTAATTTCTTCTTTTTTTCCAGGGACATCTGTCTGTGAAGTTGTTTTCGTGTTTCATTTGTTTTAGTTGCCCTTTGTTTACAGGGAAAAAAAAAGTCTAGGATGAAACACATAAAGAGAGATAGTAGTGGGGGGTGTTGGTAAACCAGAGGAAGGATCTTTTGAAAAAGAAGGCTGGTGTGGCATCACTGACCTCTGCAGAAGCTGTTCTGCAGCTGAACAGCTTTGAGGACAGATCTCTCTAACAACTGGCCCTGTTTGAGCCTTTGTAATAGGTGCCATCCTATGTGAGCACAGTGCTTTCTGGGTCAAGATCCATATCTGCTTTATGCCACTAAGTCTTAATCCCCTATTTGGCTTTGAAATTTAGGAGCAGAGCCTTAAATTGGCATTACAGGCTGGTGGGAATGTCAGGCGTTTCCTGGGTTTCTGTCCCTTTAGGTCAATAAGGAGAGCAGTGTAAAAGATCAGTGTTAGCTTGTGCTTTCATTAATTTAAAGGTTCATAAATCTGAACTATTGGATGGTGCTGGTGCTGTCTCCTTGAGAAATTGGCCGTTAGTAACTATAACTAACCGGGTAGGGAGAGTTGTAATCAAAGGTAATGGACCATGAAAACTGTCTGGTTTGGAAGTAGTAAAATTGCTGTTAAGGCTTAGAGGGAAAGTGGACTGGGATTGAGGGGGAGTCTAATTGACAAGCAAGAGGATTTCCTCTGCCCTTTCTTTATTTGCTAGAGGCTTTGGTGGCTCCAGCAGCAGCAATCATCACTTTTACAACTTCTAACACCCAACAACAACTAATGTGTTAAGAAAACTGAGCCATGATCAGACTAATGGCCATGCTGAGGGTCTGTAATCTAACTGACATCGAGTGTGAGGGAGAAGGTAGTTGTGGAAGATGTCAACAGGCATGACAATAAATGCCTGAAAGAAAATGCTGATCAAAAATGGGGGCTAACAAGAGAAATGAAGCTGGGTAGAGCTCTTACACAGAGACTGAGTTTCTGGTCAAGAGCTTGGTTGGATGAGACTGGGTTCTTCTGTCAGTAGAAAAAAAAAAAAGGTTGGGTTGGGACATGAATAGCTGCATACAGGAGGAGG